TGTGGTTGAAAAAGTAGGAAAAGTTATTGATGTGATGAAAAATATTATTTTATTGAAGAATGTATGGTTGAAAATGAGTAGAAGAATGAGAATGAAAAAAATAATGTGGATCAAACATGGGCTAAATGTGTTGATCAAAATAGACTTTGACCAAATGATAATCAATTATAAATATTGACAAATGATGGCTAAATAAACTTGTTTTATCGCTAATAGTTTATTAATTTTTTAGATGAGATGGCTCAAAATTATTTCAAAATAGAAACAAAACCTATTTTTGTCTCTCGTCGTTGCCATTTTATGAAATTTTTTAAGTGGCGGGACATGTTAAAAATTAAGTAAAAAAAATTTATCGTGTCCATAGACGATGAGGAGTACAATAAATAGCTAAATAACTACATTTCATGCATTTTGATCATACTTCTTGTCACCATACGATGTCTCCTCGGATTGTGATAACTTTAATATTCTCTGCTTGAAGTAGAATCTTCAAACTCGAAATTTTGTGACTATCCATCTAAAAAATTTCAAGAATTTTATAAATGGAGAGGGATGCCACGTGTCTATGTACGGGCATGCAACTCATTTGCTTTGCAGTGAGAGGTAAGTTGTACTATATAGTAACCCCTAGATTTGCTTTTTTATGCTATACTCAACACTTTCCAGCTGCTAAGACCTCAAACCCTAAATTTCGCATCTACTCTTCCTATCTTATATATGTCTTCCACTTTTTCATCTTCTTCCTCTTCTTCATCAATGAACTTGGGAGATAGATCAATCACCATGGATTTGGTTCAATCATCTGAGCATCTTTGCTATGTCCGTTGCAACTTCTGCAACACTGTTCTTGCGGTATATATTTAATATATTATTCCATGCAAAACCATTTGGTTTCTTGTGAGAAAACAGCAGGCTATATCTACACATTTCTCTCTTCTCTCTCTATGTATATATTCATGTATCTATCTATGTATGTTATAGGTCTCTGCTTTTGCATGTAAAATATACTTGCAATGTATGCATGTTTCTGTCTCTATCAATCATTTCCCAACCAAAATGTTTATTTTTTGCATAATCTTAGTATACCCAGAAATAACATTTGTATATGACATGAGTTGATGCTTTGTGGATCTCCACTTTCATCATTATGTGATGTTTTCTCTTCATTTTTGGAATATAAATAGAAGGAAATTAGTTAGTGCTGATAATCAGCTATTTCCTCTGGGTCTATTATAGGTGCAACATGAACAACCACAACCACAAACACGAACATAAACTACGTGTTTGATAATGTGAATTAGACGGCATTATAGAAGTAAAAATATTGTACATATACAAGATAGGAAA